TGGTTCGCCCATGGAGAAGCCAGAGAAGCTGGATCAAACTGGCGATCAAACAGCTTGCTGTCACAGGTTACCAGATCTGTTCATGGGGAAGGAGCTCAGACACACAGGGCTCCCCATATGTTCCTTTTTGGTGGCTTGAAACATCAGCATTTGAGGCCATTCTAGGTGAGTTCCTCTGGGTGGGGTGATGTTTAAGGAGGGAATTTAGGGGACCCCTGAATATATAAATGCAACTTGACTGACCAAAGAGAAATGCGCCTTGCGACTCAAGGTGGATGGAGGACATCGCAGACGACTCCGAGAAAGCCGCGATCCGCAGCATCCACACGAGAGGAGCAGTGATCATGGGGTCCCATGTCAGCCCTCGGCCGATGTGCAGGGGAAAGACAGATGATAGCGAGCCTTTGATTGAAAGCTCTGACAACAACTCCATCCACTTGCGCCGGGCAATTGCTTGCTTTGGTCTTCCACGGTTCCGGTTCAACATCTCCTTCTTTTGTTTTGGCCGCTGAGCCTGAGGATCAGCATGATGGATGTCCAATTTACTTTGGGATTGATCGGGTTTTCAGCGCGATTGGCAGAGTGATGTTGAAGATATCATATCACTTCCATGGGCTCAGAACAATGGCCATTTGAGCCTGTCTCAATTCCCTCGCCCCTCCCCCCCGCTAATTTCAGGGGAAACCAAAAGGATACCAACCATGGATGGGTCGCTATCAGAAACCCACTTCTGGGGTCCCCTCCATCCAAAACCATGCTTCAGATTAAACCAGCCTTCTTTTTCATAGGGCGCCCACAAAAGAAGACACACCAAAAATGAAACAACATGTGCGCATATGGTTTTCAGTGTAATGGTCAAGATTCAAGATAGGCTTCTTTGAGGCTTAAGGAACCACGCCAAAAGCCTCCGCTGCCTTGCACCCATAGGTAAGGGTGCATTGTTGCAAGTGGCCCACTTTTGGTCGGTTGAAAAACACGGCAGCCAAAACGAGACCCTTGCCTTCTTTTTGTCTGGGTGGGGAGTTTCAAAACAAAACAATGAGGCAAACCCTGGTGAGCTTTTGGCTTTTGGTGGCGGACCGGAAAGGCTGTGGCCTTCTCCAACCGCGCCGCTTGCCTGGCCAAGGCATCGCGTCGGATAGGGAACCGGGGAGAGGGGCGATGAGGGGAGGGGAGGGCAGGGGAGGGGAGGGGAGGTGAGGGGAGGTTTGAGGGGAGGTGGCTGGATCACTGCAACCTGGTCTGCACGACTGGCACAGGTGAATTCTTTCCAGTTCATGGAGATGGATTTTGATTGATGCCAAATACAAGCAGTCGATGGACTACAGTCAGGGGAAAACCGAGCCTTGAAGGGCAAGGAGGTGTACCAGTGTGAGGGGGGTTCCAGCAATAGGGTTCTCTAAACAACGCTTGGGGTCTAATCCTCTCTGCACCTGCTTCACAAAGGGGAGCCACTATGCTCTCAACGTCACCAGCTCGCGTTCTATGAAACCTGTTCGGTGGGATATTTCTCCTAATCGCGCTACGGGTCTTTTGCATGTCAAGAACTTTTACACGTCCACCACTGCGCCGGATCCAGCATCACAGATTGGCAACAGTTTCTGTGACTATACTGGATTCGCGTAGCTCTGGCTGTCTCCAGTGATCAGCCCTGGAGTGAGATTTTGATCTTGGTTGTCAACTTGGCCGCACGGTTGAGCTACCACTAAAAATATTTGTATAATTAAGGGATACGTATTGGATCCTCAAGTCTTTGAAAGCAAGAATTCAGAGAATTCCAGTTAGCACAGCATTGCTTTGACGGCGGCTCAGTTGGCGACCCTTTTAAGACAAGAACACCAATGCAACTGGCCCAAACCATTGTGTGCTCACCCTAAACCTGGCCCTAGCAACCGTCCGGTATGAAAGAGGGACCCCCCCCTGAAAGATCCTCGGCCTACACCGCCAGTTTGGGGATTCCGCCATAAGAACCTGAACTGTGGATGGACGATTTCCTGTATCACTTTGCAACCATGGGAAACCGTTGTTGGCATTTACATGGGAATCAACATCCCAGGGTTTCGAAACAGCGGCAGGATTTCGTCCACCTACGGTATCTCTCTTTATTGTCCCTCCGACCAACTTTCTGCCATTTTTGGAGCAGCCCTCTGGGGAAGGTTCAGTGGGGAACTGATCTGTTGATCCCAGCAGTTGTTGGATTTGGGGTAGATACAAATTTAATAGCAGGAGTCTTTTTGGGGTTTTGGCAAATATATTCTATAATTCAGTACTAGGATGTGAGTATGACTCAGTTGATATTGCTCTCCCTCCAGTTGGTTCCATAGAATCGTTGGTTGTCAGAGCGAGCCGTCACCAAGGCTCGTAGACCTGTCTGGTTTTTTCTCAACATGCTGTGGATGGTTGCGAAATCCCTTTCGCACCACGAAATGAATCCATGGAGCACCTTTGTGCGTAGGTATTTACAGGGATCATCATTCCCAGGGTTCCTTAGGTGGTGCAGGATTCTGTCCATTCACACTGGGAATCGGTGCCCCAAACTGGCTGGCTCCCTTTTGGCTTTTTTCCTCTGCGCGGTAGGTTGGCGACTTCGATGGAGCTTCGGCTGACGCGCAGGCTGCCAAGGACAGATACGTCGCTCCCACACATTTGGTGTCATTGGCTTCTCGACTTGTATCGGGCTTGATGGTTTTTCGGATAACCTCTCAGGATTCTTACACCATCAATGTAAAGGTTCGTATTGGGGCAACGCTGACCATAGCCCACATATGGGTGTTTTCTCAAAATGGTGTTCGGACCTCCTTGGGAGTTGTTTTTTTTTTTTTTTGTTCTTCTTTTGTTTTTGTTCCGGAAAACACCAGGACATCTGCCACTTCAAGGGGGGCTGGTATTTTGAGCAACCACCAAGACCAATGCCAGCAATTGCAAACATGAATGCGCCCTTGAAATTCCATAAGTCTTACATGGGTTCGCATTCCGTCTTCTCGGACCTGAGTGCTGGTTCCATGAAATAATGAAATATCTAGGGGACACTTCCCCGTTCTTTCCAGGGATCCGTCTTTCTAGAAAACCATCAGAACCCCAGGGGAAACAGCTGGTTTTTGAAAAGGACGATGGTTGAACAGAATGGAAAAGGAATCAACCCCTGGCAAATGGGCAGTTCCCTTTAGCAGCTCGCGATCAGGTTTCCGGATCGACCGAGGGCGTGGCTCGGATCAGCAAGCGATGGGCTGAGCGTGGCCAGCATCCACACAGAGTAAGATGGGACCTGACAAGCCGAGAAACGCGGCCATTTGCAGAGGAAGCTCCTTTTGGGGGGCCCTCCGTTGAGTTTCACGGAATAATGTTCACCCCGGATTAGTAAGCCCCTGGTTGAATAATACGGGGATGTCCCTTTTTAGTGGGGATTCATCACTTTTGAAAGGAACACCCCCCCAAATAATGGGACGGGTTTATTAATCCTGGGTCAACATTAGGTTGTATGGAATATGAAGATGGCGCTCAATCAACAACTAAGGAAAACAATCAACAACTGAGGAATAAGCAACCAAAAAAGCACAAAAGCGACCAACGTGGAATATGTTGCAGGGTGTTGTTGAGGCATCTTCTAAACAAATTGTTCCATTGTAAGCAGACGCAAACCACTTGTTCCTGTGTTGGTTCATGTTTCGTCCAGGTCCCCGGAGGTTAAGCTTTCATTTAATTCTCATTTTCAGGCCGGGCAAGGATCATTCAAATACACTCACCTGGGTATGGCTCAAAGAACTGGTACCAAAATGGAACCCTGGTAAGCGGAAACATGGACCAAAACCTGCGTAACCCTAGCTCTTTAATTTTGAGCCGCTGCCACCTAGGAAACAGAGCTAATAGCCATGGTACATAAGTTATACAACTTGCAACACTAGAAGGCTATGGCCATTGTGCAATGGCAAAGATATGTACCCGACGTCTCCCAGTTATAAGATATGAGCCTGGTTCAAAACAGTTGGATGGCCCCATTCACCATTTGGGTTCGTCATTTGCGCATTTATTTACCCCATCCGGAAGTTGTATCATCTACCTTCTCCCTACCTTGCATAGGTTGAACCCGCATCCTGTTTCTTTACCACGAAGGAATTTCTGCACCTTTTGGTATCTCTTTTTCCCCTGTGCTGAAAAAATGGGAATCCGACCCCCCCCCCCCCCTCGACGTTTCGCCGCTGCGGCCGGGCAACATGACTCGAAGCACGAAGCGCCAAGGAGCTCGCGCAGTCCTGGGCGCGGCCTTGGGCACGCCTCGGCTTCGCCGCTTTGCAGCGGCAGGCGGAGCTCTCGGGCAGCACCGGTCTCGTCGCTCTGGGGGTCATGTGGGTTGCGCGGTTGTGCGTGTCTAGGTGCCCGGCCAGGTGCCCTTTTGCCCTTTTCTGGGGGAAATTCCCCCTGCTAAAATAGACTACAGAAAAAAGGGTACCCTTATTCGGGCACCCTTATTCTATTTTCTCTACTGGAGGACCTAGGTGTCATGCTGGTTTTTTGTTGACCCAGATATTGGTGGTACGTTTTGTGTGGTGTTCCTAAAACAAACACGCTATCAATTCCTACCAAAGAAAACAACCTCATTTGGCTTCAAACATCTTTGGGCAAATTTGCTGGGTGAACATGGACACAACGTTTCACTTGCGGGAAAGCCGCGCACCTTGCATAGAGGCCAGTGAAGCAACCAATTGAGCATATGGGGGCCAGACCAAGATGGTGGAGTTGTGCCCCGTGCTTTCGCTTTAAACGCTGAAGTTTCCGTTTCTCAGCAGTGTCAATGACCCCAACGCAACACACGGCTGGGGCCCAGAAATTTTGTGGATTGGAGATTCATCGGCTTTGGTCGTGGCTGTGTCTCTGGCTCGTGGCTTTCGGAACCGTTCGATGTTTGTTTTATTCCACTGCGTTCTGGCCAGCGAGTGAGCAAGCAAGCAACCCTAAGCCAACCCTAAGCCACAAAAAGCCAAAAACCGACTCGAACCAACCCT